CTACAGTTTTTCCGCTAATAAAATCATTTTGTCAAGAGTTGTTAACTTATAAAATTTCGACACTCGCTGACCTTGTCGATAAAAGCAGAAAAGAGATCGTCAAAACCTTGATAAAAATAATTAAAATTATTTCCGGTTTTCTTGTGGTTTGTAGAAAATTAGGCTGTGCCTTTTTTATAGGTGTTTTGTAGCTGTATACAAGTAAGTTTTCGTATAGTTTTCATGTAATTAGGCTTCCCGTTTGGTGCATAAAATAATCGGGCGCTGGAGTCATTCTTCGCTCTCACAAGTTTCAGTAACCTCTAACTGTCTTCTCCAAGAGCAAGTCCTCTTCATCCTTTACTTCAAAACATGGGCAATCTGTATAGTCGAAGACAGAGATAGTGAAATGTGTGAGGAAAAGTAAGACGCGCAAAACATCGGATGTAAGAGGATAAATGGCTCTCGATAACGTGACGTCACGTTTTTCCACTATGTTGGAACCGATCACGTCAGCCAGTTTCCTATCCAGTCTTTCTAGTGCGATTTGTCGTGGCTGAACAGTTTCTCTGACAAGTTGCGCACCCTGAGACATCCCACTTGTTTTAACTCTTTCCGCGCGCAAAAGACTGACATTAAATGAAAACCCCGGAGTTTTTGACCGTTGAACTGCTTTATCCCTCTACTGTTACAATTTTTTGTCATGTTGGGATATGCAGCTAATGGGATTTTTTAGAAAACAAGCAAGGACCAGCCGAGAAAAATGGCTAGAAGGTATCTGTGGAAATTCACTTTGATTTCGTTGCTTTTCTCATATCGCGTGACCCCAGCGCGTGCACAAGTGTTGAGCATGTCTACAATGTATTACGGAAAAATGTGAGAGCGCTTGTTTTGTTGACTTTTATAGACAATGTAAAAGGACGACGATATCTCAAAATCTGAGGAAATTTCATGGCAAAATTCTTGTCAATACCGCATTTCAATTGCATCAAGTTCTTTTGTTATTTAAAACAGGAAAATTAAAGCTCAGTTCCTTTACTGGGTCCTATTGCAGCAGGGAAGCCTGCCGAGAGCACGCCAGCGCCCACAAAGATATCAGAAGCAGAGACGGCCTTTGAGACACCTGGAGGAAGCCTTTGGCCACATTGGACATTACTTGTACGCCAGCCCCCCGAGCATGATCGAGAATTGTGATGCGTGAAGGTTCATCGCCCCTTGAAAAGATGAACCAGTTCCTAGGAAGCAAAGACGACAGTCCAGTGCGGTAACCAGTTAGTGTACCATGGTCGGAGGCCAGCAGTGGAACCAGAAGACAAAACCTTTTCAAATAGGACATTTGAGTATTGCAACCTTTTTGTGTGCACAATATCTCCTTCCTTAACAGAATAATGATTGATAATAATAAAAATATAATACAATCTAAAACCAGATTTTCAGGGTTACTCTCCTGTGATATCTGTCACTGCATGATCATTCCTTGTAAATTACCCATGGCTTTCTGTCGCGAAATTGTAAATGAATTTGAAAACTTAGAAAGTTTATTTTTCACAAAGACGCAGTTTAATAGGCACCTAATTATTCACAACAGCGTTTTCACTAATTTATTAAACAAATAGTTCAAAAGGCTTGTGATTCTTCGTCACGAACGTATTAGCTTTTTAAAATCACCAACGAATCTCTTTAAAATTAAAGTTGACCTGAGAATGGCTACTGTTACGGGTGACTTGAATTTCTGGAATATAACAGGTGATTCAATTTTCAAACAGGTTTGGCTAAGTGCCGGGAATTCAAAGACTATATCAAGAATTGTTGCTATTTCTGTGATAATTTTGTCTCCCATCATCGTGTTTGGAAATTTATTGGTCGTTTTTTTCCATTCGGAAAGACCCCATGAAGAAACTCTAGAAATGGTCATCTAACTATATAACATTATCAATTGCAGTCGCCCATCTTATGGTCGGGTTAGTGATTTGTATTTTACTCATGTACTTTGTAATCTTACATCGCTTTTCAAATATTCCAAGGCTGCCAAAACACAAGACAGTACGGCAAGTTGTCATCAACGGATGCGTCAAAGAGAAAAACATCTCTCCAAAGCTGTCGCTGTTGTTACCTGTGCATTTCTAACCTCTCTCATTCTTGTATTTTTGCGTCAAATGCAAGCTTAATTTATCGCAACTAGTAGTTGTGTAGGCATTTACGTTCGTTTTAATTTATGATAATTCTGGCGTAAATCCATTCGTATACGCCTGGAGAATCCGTTGATTTCGGGCGACATTCAAGTACTTTTTAAACAAACGAAGTAGATGCTGTGGTCATAAGGACAAACCAGTCTAAACCTCTGTTTATGATACAAGACTTTAGTAACTTCAAACTGTGTGACAAGAAACAAGACACCTTTTTCTTGTAGTTTATAACATTTGAATGAAAGTTCACCTTTTGCCCTTGATCCCTGGACTTGGTTTATCCCTGGTGTTGGCGGCAGATCCACTGATCATAGTAGACCCGGACGCTTTTGATGCGGCCGAATCAACTAAGATGGACGAACGATTCTCGACGGCAGCAATTTGTTGTTTTAATTTTTGTATTCGTGTCCCCTTCGCTAACGCTTACTCTGGCAGCAGTAGGTCATGTAATCTGGCGGTAAGCTCGGCCTCCTTGTCAACGGCTGGTTCTGATTCCGGCTTTGACGCTGTGTTATTCGAGAGCTGTACGGTCTCATCAGTTCTCTCGGCAGACTTCTGTGGTAGTTCGCCCTCATCCCCGGTTCAGCGGGGAACAGGGTCCGCCCGCAAGTGCAAAGGGTGCGGAGTCTTGCAGCCCGGACAGTTGGAAGAACAGGTTCTCGTCACTCATAGTGACTAATACTGCGAAAAACACTACTATCCACTATCGCCAGCAACGTGCAATTGACCGACTGAGCTCACAGCTAGGTAATCCCATTTATTTATACCTAACATTACCTTACTTTTACTGACTTGCACGAGCTGATGGGCCTATGGAGACTCGCCTGATAATGTGCAATGAAGAAGTAAAATCACAGGTACCAAGTAATCGCACAACATGTAGCAGTGTACAGCCTATGATACAAGACTTCCCATGTGCCCTTAGTTACTTTTGTAATATAGAAGTACATCACGCACGACTGACTTTGTCCCCTAACCTATGTTTAACTTTCAAGAATGAAATGTTCAGTCGTGGTCTTTGAATAATAATTTTTCTTAAGACAAAAAGCGATAAAAAGCTCTACCGATCGGCTATTTTAGATTTACAATCGAAACCATGTAAGTTTTAACTTACATTTAAAAATGTACTAATTGTGATCTATTAATGAACAGACGCATGACAAAACGGAATGTATTTATTTGTTAAATATAGGCAACCGATTCATTCGAGCGTCATGCTGACGCTATTGTTTACAGTCTAGTTCCCTGTAAACTTAGGTACAGATTGCGTCGCGGTATATACAAAAGACCTCTTTCGTTTCGCTTTTTCAATGTAGCATTGCAGATTTTGTAACAGGGAGAACGTGTCTCTGACCAGAACTTCCGGCATCAAGCACTCTTATCGATACGCGATCTTATCTCATTTTTTAGACAATCACTCAATACATACGTTACCCTTATCCTTTTTGACAAACATAAAAGTTAACAGATACACATTCAACACTCATTAACAATGCTTGAGTCAGCGTCTGCTGTAAGTCTATACTGTTTTCTGGACTTACTACTAAATCAAGACGCAAGCGTATTTCTACTCCAGCCAATTTCCCCCAATTCAACGGCTTTGTTGTTGGTCTTTTGCTAAATCGAGAAACATCAGTATTACCCAAGAACTTAACGTGTTAAGAAGGAGAGGTACCCACTACAAGGCGAGTCAGTGACCTTAAAAGGTTTTGTGCATCTTCTTTTTTCTCTCTTTTTATATCCCCGAGTCACCGAGTGTCGTATGCCATAAGCGAATGTATGAACATAACTGGTTAGATTCCGCTAAATATAAGTAACTGATCGCCTAATAGAGATGGAGAAAATAAAGATAACGCAGATGCTTGATAAAAGCCCTCTAGGGACATTGTCCTGATTATGCGCACGTGCAAACGTCATCTCTTAAATGTGACGATATCACGGTTGTCATGGCTACTTCGGTCTCAGCCAATAGGAAAAGAGCATCTCAGCATCTCGCCATCGGTGTCTATATAATAAACAGGCCACGCCCGTTCGTGGTACGAATTTCATCTTCTCGCGTTCAACTCGATATCTCACTCGTTCGCTGCGCTCACTAAAAAGAACACTTAAAGATAAAATTCGTATCCACGCGCGAGCATGTAATATCCTTTATATATTATCACTGGCCTTTATCAAAATTGACGCACTTTGATATTTTTACAACTTTATGACGTAGGACATTCGGAGAAAAGTAAATTTAATCAAACTGTTTGTTTCTTAATGTTCTGGAGTAAATTTGCACACGAAACTGGCGAATTTTGCCGGGTTAAACCTTCTTTCAATTACAAAAGCTCTTTCATGCCGAAAACTTTAATTTCTCTTCTTATTTAAGACTGAGTTTTAAGACCGTAGAGGTATATTAGTTAATAGTTGTTAAACCAAAGAAGCGTGTTACAATTTATACAACCAATATACTTAGTTGTTGTACAGGGTTTAATGACGTTTTCTCGAGATGCCGATTTCATAGCCAAGTGACAGACTAAGGATGTGTAATATTCAGAAACGTAAGACCGAATTTATCATGCCCAGTCTAAATTTGTTGGTGTTAACAGAGGCTAAAGAGTTATGGACTTAAAAAATCGTTAGTCGGTCAAAGTCCGAACCATTAAACACGCAATGATATGTGAACTGACACTTTGTAACATGTTATGATTGATTGATCAGGATTAGTCTAATACAACAAAGACGTCGTTGACTTCTAAGATACGTAACATTTTACTCGGCCACCGGTGTGCACAATAAACCGCGATTTGTTTGAACAAGGTTGTGAGGAACTCTACGGCTGAATCGTTTGAAATGGCAGCTGTCTTAGGACATTACAACTTCTGGAACATAACAAGCGAGCAAGCTTTACAAGAAGCTTGGCTTCGTCTAGAAAATGTCAAGCCTCTATCGGCCACTAGTTCTGTTCTCTCGATAGTCATGACGCCGACAATAGTGCTTGGCAATTTGCTGGTCTTGTTAGCAGTTTGGAAAGATCCGCTTAAGAAACTTCGCTCATCACCATCCAACTTCATTTTGGTCTCCATGGCTCTCGCTGATCTGTCAGTCGGCTTGGTGGTTTGTCCAATCACTGCGTATTGGGGCTGGGTAATATTTGACAAAAACACCTCGCCTTTTGGTCTTTCCGTTATTTTTGCCATCAACGTTTTCTCTGTGAATGTGAGCTTCGGCCACATCTTCCTGCTGACAGTGGATAGACTTTTCGCCGTGGTAACTCCGCTTGAGTATCGTTTTAAAATAACGAATAAACGAGTACTCGTCGCGTGTTGTGTTTGCTGGATGTACTTCGTGGCGTTCGGGTGTTCATTTCTGATGTTTCGGGACTATTTTGCCATAATGGTAACAATCTACAACGTACAGCTTTTATCCATTCTCTTAAGCATTCTTATAATGTACGCAGTTATGATGTTCCATTTCCATAGGTACTCAAAAACAAGAGAAAAAGAACAGCGGCATTCAATAGACAGTCGTCTGATGATCCTCAAAAGAGAAAGAAATCTCTTCAAAGCGATCGCCATCGTCATCTGTGCATTTCTTATTTGCTACATGCCCTGGTTTATAGTTCAGCTATTGATATATTTGTGCAAACCATGCCACCCTCACTTGGCTCTGCTTATGGTTTTCTTTGGATTTTCTGGCACTTTAACGTGTGCAAACTCCTTCTTGAACCCGATACTTTATTCATGGCGACTTCCAAAATTTAGAGAAACATTCAAGTACTTTTGGAGAAACCGAAATTTTGGAAGATTGCAAGTCTCTGGCACAGCCGGAAAAACCTGCAAAGCTTCTTTGTGATAGCTTAGTCAGGTGTGACTATCTTGGACAATTTACAGTTTAAACACTCAGGGTTGTTTCGTACAACGGAAACGTAGACGGTTTTATCCCTAGTCGGACCAATACATAGGGTCTTGAAAAAGATGACCACGAACAATTGCTACGTAGAAATGGCGGTCTTGTCTCCACTAGAGGATTAAGAGTAGTGTCTCTTAATCAGTGGTCTGTTCGTATTACACTGACACTTCAATTAAATCATTTTTTTAGGCTTTTCTGGAAGATCTGTCAATAAATTGTGGAACAACTTGTTTTTGAAGATACGCTAAACAACTAACAACTAACTTTATGTTACGTTCACGACTTGTTAAATTAGAAACATGGATGAGAGTTCGTAGCCGCATTGAAGTCCCAAGATATAACTGCAGGCTATTTCTTGAAGGAAAAGGGAAAGTTTTTAGGAGGAAAGAATAAGACATCGTATAATGTAAAATACAAGCTTAATTGACACCGCTTAAGTCGTTTTCGTTCCATGTGGAACGATGCATATTTTTTTCCAGGACCCGTTTGGCTTTCAGGTTAGGCTGGTAGATCTTTCAGCAGGTACTTCATTTTGGAAATTCTGACCAATTTTGACAACTGCCAATTTCGGTTTGCACCTTGTTCTCTTTGCAGATTCAATTTGTCTCTTTCGTAGAAAGTTAGCCAGCCACAATTCTTTGCGAACGAAAGACGATAAAGAAGGTTAAAAAAACTGGCAAAAGAAAGTTAAAGGGAAATGATAAGAGAGCAAGAAAGAAAGATCGAAATAGATTCCTAGAAACGTCCACATTTTGGCTTATGTGCAAGCCTCAAAACAAAAAAAGGAGCTTAATCACACACAATTTACAGGGAAATAGGCTCTTCGTATTGTAGTGTTGACTCTTAGCCACTGGCAGAAAACCACTCCAAAAAGGAGAATTTAGTAAAAAATGAGGTTTCGTTCGCTACTCGCTGGCGGTCGTCGAAGGGTTAATTTATGCAATATTAAATAAAAGATTTAGAGGTAACATATCCACCAAGTGGTTCTTCGGCTACCTGATTCCTGGTCGAATTGGAATCTGGAAGTTTTGTTTCTTAAGGAGTGGGGAAAACCGGAGTACCCCGGGAAAAATCTCTCGAAGTCAAGGGGAGAACCAACAAGAAACAAACTCAACCCACATATTGCGTCGACGCCGGGATTTTGAACCCGGAGCCACATTGGTGGGAGACGATTGCTCTCCGAGCCCCGACACTGCAACGCCCTTGCTTCACAATCTTCAGGGGGGGGGGAATCTATTAGTTCCCTAAATGCATTGAAAACAATGTTTGGTCTTTGGGTGCCTCTGAGTTTTTAAAATAACAACATAACATTATTAAAATATTATTGATAAAATATCGCGCACTTAATTTTTTCCTTACCATATCTTCCATTTATCTGCATAGCCGAGGCTAGATTTTGCCTTTTTCCTTGGACGAAAATCCTCGTCCTCCCTCTCCACTTTGGACCACATATTGTGGAGTAAAACGTAGTTCTGGGAGAACTGTTTACTTAATTAATCCAAGAAAATAGGTCCAGAAGAGTCAAGAACCTATGCACGCGGCTGGACAGCGAACGTTAGAAAAATTCGAACTTGAAAACTGTTTACGGACGGTCGCGCGATCGCCTTTTGCTTTCTGGTCAAAACTAACGCGGCGGACCCTCCCTCCGCATTGACTGACCAAGAAGCAATAGTACCTTTCCTCTCATAGCAAGTGCTGTATTGTCGAGCGGAGGCGATCGCTAAGCTTGAATACGTACATGGCGTTGTAATCCTGCCCGTTTGCGGTTCATAGCGGAGCGTAAAGGTTAAGTGTTTGTTAATGAGCGAGCGATTATCGTGCGGTTGCGATGGGTTTTGTGAAGCCAGCGAGCAAGAAGCCGGAGTACACGTTACTTGCAGACAAGCCGATGGCAGTTTGGAGCAGAATCGTCTGTTGTTCTCAATTTTATAGCGCGTCGCGTGGAGATGGTCCGTTTTTTTGTAGCCAGCCTTTAATTCTTCTCTACTGGATAGTACCTACGATTGCAAAATTCGACAAAATGCCACTTAAACCGGCCAGGAAAGACCAAGAGACGTTCAGTTGAAGGTATGTTTGTCTTGTTTTGTTATATTTTGGTTTCTGGACTATTTTAGTTCATGAGAGATTCGCCGACTCATCCCATTTTGTCCACGTTATTGACACACACTACGTCTGGGCCGCCTGTGATCAAACGGGCCAACACTAAATCGGAAGAAGACATCAACTGCGAATCCAAGGGAATCTGTCTTTAAATTCGCTCATCCTTCGCTCTACGTAAGTAAAGTGAAGTCTGCTTTTTCTAAAGTACTCGTGAGCTTTTTTTTGTTTTCGGAGAAAGGCGTTTAGGAGACGAAAATCAGTTTCGTGAATGGAGTCTCGGAAGGGACGTCGCGGGCGACCGGCAGCAGGACGTTCTCAAGAGTCTTTGGAGATAGAGAAGCTTAGCCGATCGATCTGGTATGGTCCTAGGAGTTGTGTGTGGCTTACGAAAAGAATACACCACACTTGGAAAGTGGTAAAAGGCATGAGTTTGTTCAACTCTGATTCGATTTATGACCCCAACCTATAGTGATACCGAAAAGCACGCAACACGCCGCTCGATCTTCGCACTTGAAATTTTCCTTGTATCTTTGCTGTATGATCGTATATGTTTAAGAATTGATGTTTTTAAAATAAATTATTGCTTGAGTATTCTGTTCATAATCTGGTATCTTTATGTTTTCTACTCGATAACTTTTGTTTTGCCGAACACTGACCCGACGAACGGCGAATGAATTTGTTCATTTGCTAATAAGCAATTGAAAGTTTTGCTCATTTCAGGATAACCTTTATACTCATATGCTGTTTTTGTTTTTACCGGTCAAGGGCTATTGGCAGGTACTTCTGGGTTTATATAGGGCGGACAGAGAGATCAGTAATAAAAGATGGCTGCTTTGTTAGCAGGGGTACGTAAATGACCTCGTAAAAATACACGTAGGTAAATGTTTGTTTCAAGGCAGAACGGGGCTGTAAACCTTATTCTTATGGGCTGCAACATATCTGAGGAATAGGAAAGGATAAATATAAATTATGGGGATATATAAAATCAAACCAAATGTCCGGAAATACTCCCGCGTCGCGAACAATGAAGTTGAATTATTTAAATTTCTTTGCGTGCATTTAACTCGCTTCCGATTTGTTTAAAACAAATCAGCTACTGTCAGAACTCACACGTGCGCAGTATCGTGAACGTGTCCCTTTAAAAGAGACACTGTCCTGATTATGCGTACGCGTGCAGTCATCTGTTTTCTCTTAAAAAGCCAGTAGAACTGTCAAATTGAAGAGACAATATTTCCTCGCGAAACTACATCGCCTATGGAAATCCGTTGTTTACCTATTTCAAGTAGTATTTTAGACTTGACATCCTTACAGAAGATCAAAATTTGTTACTTCTGCAGTAATGAGATAGTGTTCCTTTAAGGGACCACAATTTCTAAGACTTCATTGGTCAATCTTTTGGCCCAAGAAGAGGTAGAAAAAGCCTGAGGTCAATTTGTTGTGAGACAGATATTTCGCAGTCTTACTTCGTGTACCAGACACAAATGACGTAAAACACTCCTTAGTGTCTGGTACAGAAAGTAAATGCTTTATTTCGCTCTTTCAACATCTCCATTTTCTTTAATAACTGCTAGGTTTTTGGTCAACGTGTATGGAGAGCCGCCCATACCGGTTCGACTGCAATTTTGTAGCTCAAAAAAAAAACGTTTGCAGCTGTATTAGGCAGAGCAATTGAAATATTGATCCTTAAATAAATGATCGAAATCTAAAGCTGAAACACTGAAGTGTTGTTGAAAAAAACGAAATTCTCTTGAAGTAAGAAAATAAAATAAAAAAGTTTAACATTATTGTCTTATTGCTTGTCGTTTTCTTATCCAAAGCGATGGAACGCTTTTATGGGAAAGTTATATTTTGCCTTATATTATCACCGGCTTTATCATTATTACGTAGGACAGTCGCCGAAAAGAAATTTAATCAAACTGTTTGTTTCTTAATGTTTTGGAGTAAATTTGCACACGTAACTGGCGAATTTTGCTGGGATATAACTTTTTTCAATTACAAAAGCTCTTTCCATGCCGAAATCTTATTTAAGGGTTTTTAGACTGTAGAGGTATCATTAGTTAATAGCTGTTAAACCAAAGAAGCGTCTTACAATTTGTACAACCAATATACTTAGTTGTTGTACACGGCTCAATGACGTTTTCTGTTGTTTTCTAGAGATGCCGATTTTATAGCCAAGTGCCAGAACATTCATCAAATATGTGTAATATTTAATTAAAAACGTATTTTCTGAAAATATTGAAGAATCATGTAAGACAGAATCTCTCATGCCCAGTCTAAATTTGTTAGTGTAAGCAGAAGCTAAAGAGATAAATTATCGCCTTAAATAATCGTCAATCGGTCAAAGTTCGAACCATTAAACACGCAATGATATGTTAACTGACACTTTGTAACATGTAATGATTGATTGATCAGGACTGGTCTAATACAACAAAGAAGTCGCAGAGTTCTAAGATATATAACAGTTTACACGGCCAAAGGAGTGCACAATAAACCGCGATTCGTTTGAACAAGGTTGAACGGAACTCTACGGCTGGATCGTTTGAAATGGCAGCTATCTATGGACATTACAACTTCTGGAATGTAACAAGCGAGCAGGCTTTACAAGAAACTTGGCTTCATACCGAAAATGTCAAGCCTCTGTGGGCCGCTGGTTCTGTGCTCTCGATAGTCATGGCGCCCATAATAGTGCTTGGCAATTTGCTGGTGTTGTTAGCGGTTTGGAAAGACCCTCTTAAGAAACTTCGCTCATCACCATCCAACTTCATTTTGGTCTCCATGGCTCTCGCTGATCTGTCAGTCGGCTTGGTGGTTTGTCCAATCACCGCGTATTGGGGCTGGGTACGATTTGAGAAAAAAACAGCGCCTTTTGGTCTTTCCGTTATTTTTGCCATCAACGTTTTCTCTGTGAATGTGAGCTTCGGTCACATGTTGCTGTTGGCAGTGGATAGACTTTTCGCCGTGGTAACTCCGCTCGAGTATCGTTTGAAAATAACGAATAAACGAGTACTCGTCGGTTGTTGTGTTTGCTGGATGTACTTCGTGGCGTTCGGGTGTTCATTTCTGATGCTTGGGGACTATTTTGCCATAATGGTAACAATCTACAACGTACAGCTTTTATCCATTCTCTTGAGCATTCTTATAATGTACGCAGTTATGATGTTCCATTTCCATAGATATTCAAAAACAATAGAAAAAGAACAGCGGCATTCAATAGACAGTCGTCTGATGATACTCAAAAGAGAAAGAAACGTCTTTAAAGCGATCACCATCGTCATCTGTGCATTTCTTATTTGCTACATGCCCTGGTTTATAGTTCAGCTATTGAAATATTTGTGCAAACCATGCCACCCTCATTTGGCATTGCTTATAATATTGTTTAGATTTTCAACCAGTTTAACGCACGCAAACTCCTTCTTGAACCCGATACTTTATTCATGGCGGCTTCCAAAATTTAAAGAAACATTGAAGTACTTTTGGAAAAACCGAAATTTTGGAAGATGGCACTGACAATTCAACTAAAAATTTTTTTTAGGCTTTGTTATTTAAACCTCGCTGGGACTATGAAAATAAATATGAAAAGAAAAACGTTTAGGCGAGCGAAATTTCGTCCGCCGAAACGAAATTTCCTCTTTCCAAAATAATTAGCTGACAACAGCTACAAAAACAAAATCGGTTTAATGACACGACTTTTCGTGGCACGAAGGCTTGTGATCCTATTTCCATCGTTTTAATGTTTTCGTGTGGACGGGCGAAAACGATTCCATTACGCTACCTGTGGACGCATATAAACGGAAAAAAGTCTCCTTTTTCAAAAATACCCGGATACGAGTCGACCAGGCCTAAGAAAACAAACAGCGACGGCGGGGAAAACGTCACGAAAAATTTGGCTTCGCGTTCGTTTAAACTTAAGTACGATTATCCCAATCTCCTGGAGTTGAATTCGTAAGGAAAATTCCAAGTTCAAAAGGACAAAGAGAAATTTGTCGTCGTTTGTTTACATTTTCGATAAAACGTGAAATCACGCCGTAGTTTTGCAGTGACGGCAAACAATTGTACAATCCTGTCATTGTTTCCTAATCTAAGTCAAGGCCAACTCGAATCCGGATAATTTTGACTAAACTGCGTATTTTTAAACACGAATGGGCCTTCCCTCCACACGAAACCAGTGAATACGCTCACTAAAACCGCTCTCCTGAGTTGTTTAAAGCCCCGTCCATAGGAATCCGGGTAACAAATATGCAGTTTTAAAAACTTCTGAATTGGTGTAGGCGCAGCCTAAACCTGCTGCGTTTTTGACGTTCTCATCAAAACAAAAAACTTCCTTAACTTTCTAATGTAAGAGCTAAGACGTCGCAGGAAGGTACATTTCAGGAGCTTGAACAGACCAAATTTCAGTCTAAAAAGATTTGCGGGAAGACGTCTGACATTTCAGGCAAGCCGAGAACACAAACATGAGTTGTATGTGGTTGTTGATAATATTTGATCATAGCAGTAAATTCCAACGGTTTGGTAGTCAAGAGGTACATTTCCCTTTATTAGGGGGCCTGCAGTTGTCTTTTAGTGTATCAATAGTACCAAGTACTTATATAATAATCAATAACATGCACTTGACATTATGCTTATACAAATTTGAGGGAAAAACATGGCAAATATTAAAATAATGGAAGAAACTTATTATTTGCTTTGTTGGGCACTGACTAAGCTAGGGAGCATTTATTCGAAAACAAAAGCGTTTATTGCTAATTTGAATAAACTTCAAAATTTGCCTTCCGAAGTTGACTTAATGCACCGAATAACACCTAACCTGAGGAAAGTTTGAGCCTTTAACAAGGTTTCCTAGTTTGGCAAGTTCCTTTTACCATTCCTGATGTTTTCTCAAAATACCAGAGTGTAAAAATAGGAATCACGTGGATCATGTCAGTGTTGTTTTGGGGAGGATGTCATAATCTGGTGGTTATTCAGTTCAGTGAAATCATTTGTCTCACCTTTCCTTTGTCGGGTTTCGGAATCTTCCGAAATCCTACTCCAGAAAGTAACTAAAGACTCAAAACCCGTAACATTTCCTATGGATTTTTCGATGAGGTAAGCTGAAGTCTAACTATCTACACTGAACTTTTCGGATGTTCAAACGTCTTCAGTCCAAAAAAAAAGATTGCTTAAATAAAACCAAAAGAATATTAGAAGCAAGTGAACAATATATCTGAGGCATATTAAATAATTTATTGTTTGTTTGTTCCGTGTTAGGATGAAAATTCACCTCACTTATTGTGTTTAGTTGAATGCTTGACAATAGAGAGATGGCCGGAGAGAGCTCGTTTCCTCATCCTGAGCCGAAAGGTAAAACGAAAAGGAAAGCGAAACAACATAAAAACATGATCAGAATTGGACAAAAAGCAATGCTTTGAGTTTAAATAACTTCAAATCAAACATCAAGGGTTATGAAGGCCGGGTCAATACAAATAATTGTTTTTATATCAAAATGCAGATTGTTCAATTGACATCATTTAAAAAAGCTGAATAGCACTAGAAAATGTAACATTTGTTCAGTAGTGTACAGAGCAGCCTGGGATCAGGTCACGAGAGGATTGTGGTGAAGACGGAAAACAACAACTCCTGTCCACTTGCTTGTAATGGCAGCCGTTGTTGGTCATTACAACGTCTGAAAAGGAAAAATTTTTAGGAGGAAAAACTAAGACATAGTATACAATAAAATGCAAGCTTAATTTAAGCGATATTAAATAAAAGAAAAGAAAGAAATAACGATTTAGAGGTAGTGTATCCACCAAGTAGTTCTTCGGCTACCTGATTCCTGGTCAAATTGAAATCAAGAAGTGTTGGTTTTTAAGAAGTGGGGAAAACCGGAGTACCCGGAGAAACACCTCTCGAAGCCAATGGGAGAATCAAGAACAAACAAACTCTACCCACATATTGCGTCGACGCCAGGATTTTGAACCCAGAGCCACGTTGGTGGGAGACGATTGCTCTCCGAGCCCCGTCACTGCGCCGCCCTGGCTCCGCGATCTTTGTTACTAGGCGGAAATCTATTAGTTACGTTAGGTTGATCATCTTTCTTCTCCACTTATAAAAGACTTACCTTTGTAGCCTCTCAATATGTGTTCATCTCTGCGGTGCGTTTACATATATTTGGTCAATTACAGATCATACTGGTTTAATTTCAGTGACTTTTATACATATGTAGGAGGAGGCAGCAGTTACACACTTTTCTGTCAATATAGTTAATCACTACCGTTTTGGAGAGCCACGTCTTTGTAATGTTGCATCAAAGCAACTGTATCTATAAATACATTTAATTGTGCAATATATAGAGAATACTTCATGGAAAGTGCGGGCGTACGGTATTTACGCACGAGTTGTTGACGAGTGAGATTTCTGATACAAAAACAATGAGTGCGTAACTACCGTACAAAGCACTTTCCACGTGGTATTGTGTTTATTATATATATATTGAGATTTACATTCTTGTTTATCGTCTTTAATGACAGACCAAGACAAAACTCTGTTACATAAATTCAAGTTAAAAACTCATGCAAGGATTATAGCGTAAGCTTGAATTTCTGCCAGAAATTTAACATTACAGCAAGCAAATAATCACATAATGTTAAAATATTATATTCCTAAACTTTAATCCGAGTCGGACTCCTCAATTCGGATTCTCTTCCACCTTTTTTCGGTGGTTTCGGTGACGGAACTCCTGGTTTGAATGGTCGGCGAGGTGGTAAGCGCATTAATAGAAATCGTAAATTGTCCTCCACTTATTACTGCTCCATCAAAAAAACTCATCGGGGTTTTACTAGTGCAAGTGCTCGCAGCAGCAGTTTCGTTAGTTGCAGTAGTTGCTTGTGTTTGCGACGATGCTCGGCTTAAGATGCCCGATATGTTTTTTTGTTGATTTAGGTTCAAGCTACTATAGTTTGTTATGCTTTGCACGTTCTTGTGCCCACTTAACTGCATTATATGCGTTGGCGGAATTTCACTGTCATTAAGTTTTTGAATCATGTGTTTACGAGCACTATGGTTCGTGAGTCGCTCGTTGTTGATGTTTGCTTTTGAAGCCATTGTTTTCATCAAAGTGTTTAATTTATTTACACCCATAGGTGCCGACTTGAACCAGTGTTTTTTGGAGCCGTCTGTTTTCGTGTGGTTTATTCCCAAGTAGAATGGCGAATCGTCAGCCATCATGTTTTCCGGTCGCTTTTCACGGTAAATTTTGTACGCCACGACAGGATCTCGTTCATCACCAGTTGAAAACATTTTCGGGGAAACTTTTCGAACGTTTGAGGCGTCTACTCCAGACCTTGTTTTTGTCTGTCTTTCATTGTAAACTAGATAGTCGTTACCTTGTGCGTCCTTACAAAGCTTTACATCTCCCCAGCACAAATCCCTATGCTCTTGACAACCACGCATTCCAAAATGAATGGTGTTGTTCAGCCAAACAGTATTCAACAATGATTCAGCAGAACAAACTCCAAGCAAATTGTTTTCGTGAAGTATATCGACTTCTTCGTCCGTGATAGCCACAGCGGCTTTGTCCTTGTTGCCTCGGCCTGCTTTCTTCAGCTCTTTTTGTTTAGCCTGTAAACACTTTCTAAACAATTCAAATTCTTTATCGTTAATGATACTCTTAGTATAATTATTTTTCTTCAAATGTCTTTCAATACTTGAAACAAGGCATCTTAAACTTGAAGGCTCATAATCCTCTCCGTCTTTACGTCTCACAGAACGAATAAACTCCGCAAGGTGCTTGTTTAATTCTGCGGGCTCTATGTCTTGCACTTCTCGCTCGTCGTTCTTTTCGTTTCTCAAAAACGTTTCCACCAATTTCACATCTCGTTTCGTTTTCTCTTTCGTATTCCTGTTTTCGAGACTTTCCACGTAATCCTCGACTGAAGTATCGTGATCAACAAACCTTTTCTCGTTCATGTTTTTAAGCTTCAACACTTGCGAAAGATTTCTTTACAAAGTAACAAAGTGAAATGCTGCCAGCTGAATGAAAATCACCTTTTTACGGCTCACTCGTCAAAAAACATGATACGCAGAACCTGATTGGACGTATCGTTTTCCTCACATGTGGAAAAAGCAATACGCGCCATTTGATTGGCTGTCGGGTTCTTAGACCAGCTTCTGAACCAAATTTATTTCGCGCCTTTTCAGTAGGTAAATCTCATTTTTTATCTCAGGTAATTTCTATTTTTTTGTTTTGTTTCAACTTCATTAGCATACATTACCATACCCCCCCCCCCCCTTCCAAAAAAAAGAAAAACAGAAATTACCCGAGATAAAAAAATTAAGTACAACAGGAATGTTGCAGTTTTCCAGGCCAAACTCAATATAGAGCGTAAGTCGGTGTCACAGCACAAATGAGTTTTGCAAAAGCTTTCTGTTCAGATTTTCTTCCAAGCACCCAAATACAAAGACTATAGACAGGGGGGGGGGGGAAAGGTGTGTCCAAGGAAATCTGTGGTACAGTCCGCCTGCCAGTATGACGTCACATCTCGCGTCAGTGACTTTCAAAATGGCCAGGAAAGTGTTCATCGAAGAGAAGGATGAAAATTTTGATTTTATAACGGATATACTGTTCCGATTTCTTGGATTTGGAGATTTTAAGGTTTCTATTGTCATAGAAAACTAGACTTAAGCACTTTTTTGAATGAAATGTCGAGTGGTGTAATGAATTTTAAAGATTCCTTTCTATCGTCGAGCAAATTTTACGGGCAATCATACCGACTGGTCACACTTTCGAGGGCCAGTGCACAGCAAGATTGAGGAGTTTAGACACAGCATTAGGAGGTTCATCAAATGATGTATTATACTTTACATTGTGCGTATTTTCAGCTCTTCAGAGCTAGTGGAACCCCATATCATTTCTCTTAAAGTTCGCCTAGCTGTAGCGTTGAAGCAGAAAGCTAAATGACAGGTTGTGAGAGACTGTGAGCATTGAATCTTGTTGCTTTACCGCATTTTAATACTGTATTGGGCATATACACCTGTAATTCTGTAATTAAATCCCGAAATCCAATAAAAGGTTTCGTTTAATTATTTTTTGGGGGCAAACCAAGTGGAGATTTTAGGGTAATAATATTGATGATTAAGACGATGTAGAAAAGGCAAGTTTAGCTTTTGCCAGTGAGCCACTGGTGGGTGTTGGGTGTAAATTAGTACAGTTTGTGGTGTACTGTGTGTTGTTTGTCATGATGTCAACTAACACTGAAAAAACTTCAGCTGTTTCAGAGGAGGGACATGTCTTGACAGCTTATGGTTTTTATCTGATCGTAAGCTTGGCCCTATGCAGATCAAGAGCTTTTGAAATCCCTTTTCCAAAATAAAACTCTGGACTTAAGCTTAAAATATCAATATTGATCCAAGTGCATGACCAGCAGGGTCAGCAGTAAGAATAAAGAAAAAAAGGCCCAAAGGAAATTTTTTTAAAAAAAGAGACCAAACAGAAAAAAAAAAAAATGGTACAAAGAAACAGAAGACAGCATAGGCCGGAGTCGAACCCGGTTTATCTGCAGGTACAAGCAACTCCTTGACCACTGCACCACAGTGACACACATGATTTGGAAAAGTAATTTTGTCATATCAAAACAATTTTTCTCTGCGATAGACGCTGTTTGAAGCTAGTGGAGCTGTATTTATCATGAATTCAAATATACATTTGAGGAAAATTAGCTTAAGCGCGTATTTCAAAGCTATTTCGCAGTAATTTGGGCTCAACCGGCCGACTCGATGTAGATAATCGACCGAACTAGCTTTACTGAATTTGGTGGAGAATTAGGAGATCAACAGAGGCCCACACTCGAAAGGAATGATATGAAGTTAGGCCCATTTAATTAGCAAAAGAATAGATGAAATATATATATATATGGGTGATCTGTGAATGGAACCTCCTATTCTGGAGACTAGACCTTGCCTATTTTAGACAAAAAAAAAATTTTAGTTTTGATGACCTTGCCGGTCCCGTGAAATAGATGGCGATCCCGCAACACGGCCCGCGAAACAAATTAACAAAATGTATACAATCACGGACACAAAATTTCCAAACGGTTTACACAAGCAGATTATAGCAACACTAAAGCTCACACACTTTCCATAATAAGCGATATATAGCGATATTTGCTAGCTTCTTAGCTTTTCCTCGACATCGCTCGTCCAAATAACCGTCGTATCCCTTGCTAATTTGCCCAAGCGACCCGAGGCTCTTGCCCGTTACTATGTGACGTCATACTGCAGGCGGAGTGGGTCAAGAAACGTAGGTGGAAAACAATAGAGTTACCTTCCCCCCCTGACTATAGACTATTCAAAGACTTCCTTTCAACATTTACTTTCTATTAGGTCCGAGTGATAAACTAAGGCTATGCTCACACTATACTGGATAGCTTTTGTGCCGGCACGAAAACCATACCAGATAGGGCTTCTGTTTACACATAAGAACTGTGATTTTGGCGCGATTTCTGTAACGGAGTGAAGATTCGCCGCGCTGCGCCGATCTCTAAAGTGGAGAGCCACATATCGGATAGCTTTTCGTGACGACAAGAAAGGCTATACCGTATGGTGTGAACATAGCCCAAGCCGTTAATCAGTCTTGAATTTTTACTTACATGGCCCTAGTCATCAAAGGGGAAACAACTCACCATAAGAGTCCTATTTTAGAAAAGTACAACTACTACAAAATACAAGCACTGACAATGAAGATGGTTGTTCAGAATAAGCAAATGCATTGATAGCACTTTGGCAAAGGGGCCCTGATGATTAGGCCAATGTTTCGAGTGGTAGAACCACTGTTACGCTGAACGATACAACAATAGTTCTAAATTGTCATAAGGTTTGGTTCTTTGACAACATTTGACATGATCACATTGCTTGTTTAGGCGGTACAGCATGTCCCAGCAGAAAAACAGCATTTTGATAAATGAGCATGGGTTGAACCGTGAACCTATCCCTTTAAATAAACGTCCTCCACACTTAATGATATCACTAATTCATTTGCTAGTTGGCCTGGTGCAACTGTTCGGTCTTTATTCGTCAATTACACTGGACCACATTGCACAAAAAACATTAAGTTTTTCATACTCTGATCTAACCTATAACGAAGCTTCCAGTTTTCTGTCAAGAACTAACTAAAATTGTGGGTCATACATTTGGTAATAAAGACAGCACCCACGTTTACAAAAGCGGCAAAAAAACGTGAAATGCAATGGTTTTATGTAACCTTTATTTAACTTTTCATTCTATATATTTTCTTAATATGACTAATATTTATATGCTACAGATCGGCTTGTTCATGTTCTTCAAAAATGAGTTACTTCCAGTAGGCTTCCATGATATGTTCTTGTCCAGTTCTCAACTTCATTCTTATAATACAAGAAATGCCATGAATTACAGATCTCAATTTCTAGAACTCATTTTAGGAAATTTACCATGGCATATCAAGGCCCAAAGTTTTGGAATGTCCTCCCTGCTGAACTCAAAGACGAATCTTCAAAAAATGTCTTTACAAAGAACTTACATAGAGTTTTATTTCAACAAGCTAATCTGTCCTAATTATTTCCACATTGTTGATCAATAATTTCTTGTATAGCCTAGTTTTTTTCTTTCTCTTTTCCTACTTATTTTTTAGACTATTAACTACGACATTTTTTTCTTAGAACTAGTCCCAAGCGGCGAAGAGCGAGGAGAAACGGATGTTTTCGCAGGCTAAGAACTGTTAATTTGTATCAATAATTAGATACGTATGTGTAGTCAAATGATGACGAGTGAGCTCAGGGAATAATTTCACGCGGGTTTTGTCCAAATCCTAATAATTTTCCGAGCCTTAATAGGCTCGGGAAATTATTAGGATTTAGACAAAACGCGCGTGAAATTATTCCCTAATTTCACGAGTATACCATTTGATTACCTATTAATATCATGGGTGATAAATTACGTTAGCAATCTAGGATTTTTGATATGTTTATCCTGGATCGTATCGATCGAGAACTCCACTCTCTCAAAGTTTAGACCTTAAATTTGGCTTACAAAGTTCAGAATTTTTCAGACTTTTTCGGCAAAATACCTGTTAGAGTCCTTCTTGATGTTCTCTTGTGTGTTCAGGTTTTCTAAAGCGTCTTTTATGTACCCTGACATCTTCATTCACGGCATTTTAAAACTTCGTCGCCATCTTGACACTAAGACGTACGGAGGGTTTCCATGGCAATTTTGTAATTTCACATGTGAAATTACAAATTAACGCTGAAATTTCGCGCCAAAATTAAGGAGTAATTCCTCACCTATGATATTAGCTAAATTAATTTGCTATTGTTGATTGATAGTTATACCTCTTAACCTTATTACTTATACTTAGCTTATTCGTGTCAATTATGCATACTTAAATAACTTTGAATTTGTTTTTAAATGGGTAGCCTGAATGTAATAAGCAAGAGGGTTTTCTATCCGGGCTGCCCTGCCACTTTTGGTGGTAATCTGATCAATAATGTGTTGAATGCAATGTTGTCCTTTTTGTGTTCCCTCTGGAGGCACTCATGCTTACTTTTCTTGTTATCGCTGATTTGCTCGATTTATGGGCAAGCAGGATTCTTCCGCGGCCTCTTCTTTTCCTCCGGGTTTGAATGCCACTTTGGAAGCACAGGAAAACACTATTTTGTCCGCCGTTGATCACGCAAATTCAAGGCCTCGAAAGCAACTTGTTTAAAGCTCAGACTGACTGGGTTCAACAAGAAAACCACGTCTTCAAGAGGAAAGGTAATGAACAACAGTCAACCGGAAAGTAATCAGTGCCAGTACTGCTGCGGTAAAGCTTTGGAGATTAGAAACATTGGCAAAGCGAACGAGGAACTGAATGAAGGTATTTCGTTACTGACTGACAAACAGAATATGATTAAATTGGCGGACAAATCTGAATTTCGTTTCCCCTCTGTTCAAGA